ATGTATAATGAAACAGAGGAAATTTCCAAACTAAAGTCATTCAAAATCGTAGATTGTTAAAAACGTTCTAACAAACAACTTGTCCATATTTTATATTAGAAACAAGTGTAATAATAGTTTTATGGTTATAATTAACTATTATTTGGCGAAATGAAGTTAAAATAAAAACAAGAAATCAGGCAAAATATCTTATTATTAAAAATTATTAATTTGGTTAATTATTAATTATTATCAAAAATTATTATTAATTCAATTTAAAAATTATTAATTTGCAAATTCAGTTGTATTTTTTTTTTTCGTTTTTATAATTATTAAATATTAACAATCATAATAATGCCAAAAATTACATGAAAGCAACATAACCTAAATTTTGTTGATATCGAAAATTGCAAGTCGAAATTTCTTCTTGAAGATTTAATGAAAGTTTGGAACCATAGGATTGGTAGAATATTATTTTTAAGTTGAATAAAAATTGTTTCAGCGTGATTTCGGTAGATTCAAAGATAAATTTAATATACATTGGTTTTTTTTATATTCAAATATTTATTTAATAAGTTTTCGAGCATTTAAGAAAATTTTTAAAAAACTTAAAAATTCTGGTTCAATTCGCTGATAATATATAATGATCTATGATCATAATAAATTTATAATGATCTGTCATTAGGTACGATTACAAATTTTTTTTTGGTTTTCCAGGTCTCTTTATAGAATTTGGGATTCAAATATGCCGAGCCTCTCTTTTTCACTGTACAATAGTAATATGCATAATAACATATATTTGTTTTAAGATAATAATGAAAATAATAGTAAAGATAATAAAAGTAGCTACTTCCTTCCTTTAAAAATGCTGTTAGCCCTTATCAGTGTGGAATAAATTCAGATAATTTTTTAATCATGATCGATAAGATGGAAATAAAATTCGATTGATGAGCACAACTCCTAAAGCTTCGAATTTTCATAAAAAAAATTTGCTTTATTCTAATATGATAATGTACTAAAGCGAACACTAAATTTGGATAACATCGATTTCATGCAAAAGAATTTTTCATTCAATCAAATTTGTTATTTCACATATTCGATTCAAGCTTCTTGATCGATGAGAGTAAGTCTATCATTAAAAATCATTAAAAACGAAATCGAGATAGTACCATAAAGCCACCTGTATTTCTTTTCTCATATGAGTTCTCATACGAAAATATATTATTTTAATAACTAATTAAAAAAAAGGAAAAAAAAAGAAATTTTGCATGAAAATATTCTCAGTGCTAATAGTCAATTAAATGATAATTTAAGGAAGAAAAAATAGCATTGTTCAATGCCGTACATTAGCTTATGAAATGAGATGAAAAATGAGAATATTAGTTATTAAAGATAAATGTTTTATAAATTAATCAAAAAAAAAATTAGTATTGAATATAAAGGACCATTTTCTCTAATCGCATGCAGTTATCTAAATTTATATATTCGAAATTTGTTTTAAAACTCAATGCGAGTCATTTAATTATGATTTTATTTCTTCATTTTTATTATATAAATTTTCTCTTCAATTTCATTGAATGGGTCATTAACGACTTATAATATCCTTAATTTTAAATCTATTTTAAATCCTTGTCTCATCCTGTTTTTTATCCGAAATTTTAGCTCTCCCGCGCATAAGGTTGAAAATACCATATGAATCCTTCCATAGCATTCAGTTAAATCCTATTGAAAGTTATTTCTTTGTAGTGGTTAGCATATTTTTAATTGAAAAACAAATAATTTACGGTAGCTTAGCGAGAGAAGGTGCTAAGATATTTCCTTTCTTCCATTATTTTCCTCAATTACGATAAAAAATTTTGAAATTTGATAAATTATTCATTTTCAGTTCAGTTTAACATCCCAATTAAAAATCCAAGAATGTGCGAAAATTCAGATAAATTTAATTCATTTAAAGAATGAAAATGGTAAATCAAGTTCATGACTTTGAATCAAGACCAAATAAGAACGGGAAAAAGTTCACTTTTTTTAATGAAGAATAATATATTCTGGCATATATAATATTATAAGAAAAACAGAACGCTTTCGAATCATGTGAGAAGGTCTTGATGGGTTTATATCTGTGAATTGCTAAAGGAAAAACGATGGTCAAATAGTTTTGCGAACAGCTATCAAACTTCGATCCTTGTCCGTTGACCTGATTAAACTTCTTAACAACAACAAAGATGAAATGGTGTTGAGGTCGAATTTTTATCCCCAAGCGATCCTCTAGCGAAGTGGTGTCATCTTAATTGCCGACGGAATCAGCCAACCAGAAGTTTCGAAATCTATTAGAAGTTTAATTAAAGGAAGGAGATCATTTCTTAAAGTTTAACTTTTATTTATTAGTTTATTAATTGATTAGTGATTAATAAATTTTTAAAATCGAAACCAAACCAGACAGTGTTTCTTCTTTTTTGTGAGATGTTTATCACCGCATTCTGGCTTTCAAATATTGCCTTCAAATTTTCGATCTGACATGGAATGAAAACGATTTACCATTTATAACGCTAAATTCGGTCGATTTTCACAGCTAGGCGGTCCTCCACTTAATCTGCCAATAAACCAGCTCAACAAGTGCTCGTTAATAAATTATATATAAGAAGTGTTAATTCGAAAATCTAGAAGATTATTTCTTAATTCATGTCAATGTGAAATTTCCTTAGAAATTCTCGCGACAACACGCTCACCCTTTTCCTTTGTTAATTACAGATTTTTGGTAATGTAAGGTTAAATATACGGCTCCCCTATTTCCTTCTCATAAAAAGGACTGGTCTTGAACACTCTTTCAAGCTTGGATAATATAAAAAATCTTTTTTTGACACCATTTCTGCTAATTGGCTGGCTTCCATTGCCTTTTCGCTAGAGTTTTTCCCTTGGATGCAGAGGTACAAGTAAATAAATTTCTTGCATCATCTATACTTTAACCACTTGGATTGGACTTTTGAAATGGCAGACTTACTCCAATCAGTCCAGAAGTACCAATGGCTTGAACTTATATAGTCCAATCTAAGAAATATATCACTTATCGCTTTCTCAGCATTAAATTTTTTGAATATAAAATTTAAGATTTATGAAAGGAAAATATTATGAGTTCAAATTTCAAAGTTCTCGTGTTATTTATCCTTATTTATTTATTTTGTTCCTTATCTTTATTCCTTGACCGATTCAACAAATTTCGCGGTAATTATTAATTTAAGAAAATCTTGTATGAGAAAATTCAATTTTTTCAACTGTCTTTCTTATGACTGTAAGAGATTTCGTCATTTCGAAACTGAATTTGAGAACAATCAATTATCCCTCTTATCGTTTCATCTAGTTTTACTAAATTTATTTAATTACAACTGCGATTAGAATTATCTGATTTTTCCATGTGATTGCTCTAACTATCTTTCTTATGGGAAAAAAACGGCGTAAAGTGGACTAAAAAACCACAAGTAAATAACAAATTTTGAGAAAATATCCAATTCCAGAAAGAAATTTATTTTCCAAAGTAAAATTAAATTTCTTCGTTTAATTGTTCAATATAAGTTCATTGTGTTTGAATTCTATTAGAGTTTTCAGAATTGTATATTTTATTTAAAAAACAACAGCCAAACAAGATGGTAAATCCTTATATGCATATGCATGTGCATAACTTAAAAGAAATTTAGAATTCGAGAAAACATAAAAGTGAAAAAGATGTTAGACTGATACAATTGTTTCCTTGAATAATTTACCTTGATTTGCTCCTAAAGCCCGATAATTGTTTCTAAAATCTGTTCAAATCTGTTGAAACATTTAATTACTCTCATTTGTAATTTTATTTTGCTTGCTTTTGTGAATTTTTTCGGTTGAAATTGACCAAATGATGAGAAATCTAAGCAAGGCAAATACTAATAATTAGAGAAATCTGAGTTATGATCAAATTAAAAAGAAAACGAAAGGATTGCAGCTCATTAAGCATTAGAAAGACCCGGAAAGAAAATTTAAATATCTTAATTACATGCGAAAGAAACTGGCTACAATTATTATTGAAAGGCAACTTTTGAAGCAAAATAAAGTATAGGAAATAAAATTAAAAGAAAATAGCGCAAAAAAAATAACAACGTTATTTCAGTTTATTCCTAAAAGATTCTTCCAACTGGCATCTAATTAACCTCAAAAGGATTATTATTTGAGGATTAACCTCAAAAGGATTAAAAGGATTAGTTGGAAAATTATTGAAAACAGTGGTAAATCTACTTACCCTTTTACTTTTTCTTGAAAAATTTTATTTGCATTTTATCAGTTAAATCAATGAACTTTCAAATTTCAAATCAGTCAAATATCGCGGCAAAATTTTTCAGCAAAGAATTACTATCCATAGATCTATGGAATACCGAGTTATCTATCTGTCTTACTGAAATCTTGGGATAACTCGCTTGTCATGTACTGAGGATTTAAATAATCTTTAAAAAATTCTGAATTTTTTTCTGATTTGTTAAAGTGATTGTAAAAAGGAATGATGGGCTGGCTGATTCGATTTTCTTTAAAATCTATAAATATAGGCAAGGTTGATTTTTCTTTTCTTTTCTAGTCTTTTTTTTCAGAAGGAAATAATTTTCGTTGTGAGATCGACCTATTTGATAAATGAGGTTGTTTATGAGAACATTTTCTTCGCTGAATTTATGGATATACCAAATCAAAGCTGCGGTTCATTGTTTAATTTCATCAAAACTATAAAACATTTTTTTGTGCTCGTGCATTTTTTATTTATGTGATACTTTTCTAATTTCCTTAAAAACATGAATCAAATTCGTGGTAACTCGAGCTATCTGAATATTTGTTGATATAAACGAAGTTAAGAAAAATTTGATTAATTTACCAGATTATCGTCCTGCTTAACCAGATTAATTTTGCAAAGAGCTGGGGTTCTAAGCCAGCGATTTCAAGGCATAGAACGCTCTTAAGTCGATATCAAAGAAATTATCCATATTATATCATAAATTTAGTTCTTAGAAATAATGAATGAAAAACTTTCACAATTCCGAACTCTCAGCGAAGCAGAAGGTCTTCGAAAAGTTGCTTTTATTGGTGTCACTTTATCCGTTGTCTCAGCTCTCGTCTGTGCTGTTTCAATTCCGATGTTATATAGTTATATGCAATATGTGCATTCATCCATGCAAAACGAGGTAGATTTTTGTAAAGCTCGATCGAGCAATGTTTGGAAGGAAATAGCTCGAAAGACCCAGGTAATAATGAAATTTTCACATTTTGTTTTATTTTCGCTAATTTTACAGCATTCGTAAATTTATATTATCTGGGAATGAAAATGATAATCTATATACTAAATCTAGTTAGAGCTTTATCTAAAATTTTATTGCGAATTATGAAAAATGTTATGAGGATATACTTGACAATTGCAATTTTTTAATCATTTTAAGATTGTGGCAACACAACTTTTTGCAAGACATAAACGGTCTGGCGGCAATAACGCACTTGCTTACTGCTGCGGCTGTGGTATTTCATCTTCAGGTCCACCTGGCTCACCTGGGAAAGATGGTAAAGATGGAGCCGATGGAGAAGCTGGAGCTCCTGGCAAGAATAGTTTGGATGCTGAGATGACGACTCCTGCAATGAGGGTATGTTTAGTCTAATGCATTAACGGAAAATATTTTCTATGAAGATTTATTTTGGAATCACTTTCAGGAATGGTGTTTTGATTGTGAAGATGGGCCGCAAGGACCGCCCGGAGCGTCTGGTGTTAAAGGATCGCCTGGAAAGCCAGGCCCTCGCGGTTTTCCAGGAAAGAATGGCGTTCAAGGCATTAATGGTGACCAAGGGACCGAAGGTCCGCCTGGCGAACCTGGGACACCAGGTTCATCATTTTCTCCATTTTTGCAATATTCTCTTTTTTAGTGCAGCAGAAATCTGAATATTTTTAAAACATCGATTTTATAAGCCGTCTCTTTTTTTATTAGCTACCCGCAAATACAATTAAATATTACTGACGTTAAAATATTATAAATATTGAAATAAATTGAATAAAATTATAAATTGAATAAAATTTTTATTGCTATTGTTTTAGGTTTAAAAGGCGAAAATGGCCTTGTCGGAATGGTTAACGAAGCGATTGGTCCAGAGGGAATACCTGGGATGCCAGGGAAAGAAGGATTTCCGGGACAGCCTGGATTGCCAGGTGAAAACGGCAAAATGGGAAGTGGTGGCCCAATTGGACCACCAGGTGATAAAGGCAATGTTGGCGCACCTGGTGCAGCAGGGAAAGATGGCGAAAAAGGATCTGATGGTGTACCAGGATCTACTGGAGGATGCAATCATTGCCCGCCTCCTAGAACAGCACCAGGCTATTAGTATTTTCACAGCAATTTTTTGCTTTTGTCATAATAATGACTCATATTTTTACCATAGTTAGATTCTCTCTAGATGAAAATATTTTTTAAGTAGGGAGTTTTTGAAGCTAATTATTTAGTTCCAGCTGTTCCAATCAAGCACCCTACTCTTCGCACTTACGATTAACTGATTTGGAATTTTTTGGCAAATCAATGTTTTCCATAGCATTGTCGCATATATCTCCATATGTATGCATATCACAATTATATGTGCTATAGTACTTGTATTTGTTTGAAATTTCTGGAAAATTTTTACAAATTTCTCAGCAATAATTTAAATATTCTATAGTATTAAACTATAGTAATCATTTTTATGTATCAAATGGTGCATTTTACCAATTTCCTTATATTTTGTCATTTTGTTGGAAATATAGAATTGGAAATATGAAAATATGGAAAATCTTACCTTAATTAAAAGCTTATATATTTAATAGCTTTTGTTTTTTAGAAAAATATGTAACGAAAATATTGATAAATTTTCAACTTATTTTTTCCACGACTTTTTAAGAACCCTCACCATTGCTGGTTAGACTGGCTGTGCTGATTATTATCGTCATACTAGACAAATATGCCAGAGTTTCTTAGCGATAGAAATACCTGGCGAGTCGCCAGAATGACCGGTATTCTTGTGCAGATTTACTCCTGCGGTGAGTAGATAATCTTTTTAGCCATTCAAAACCACTAAGATCATTCCCATTAATTAGGTTTGTTTCTCTGGCTTATTAGATCCTACAAATCTGGCTGCGGAATCACTTGGCAGCAGAAATGCAGATGAGTGTTGCCAATATCACGTTGACTTTTGCTCCAACCGAAAATAACTGTAGAAATGATAGCAACAATCCATTGAGCCATTCTAACCTTTATATAAAATTAATATTCAATTCGCTCCTGAAAGGCTATCCTGAGAGATAAGATGAAGAGATGAGATCGTTATTATTGAAACATTAAGAGGATAAGAAAGAGAAAAAACTTAGTCCTTTTTTGAAAAGAAAGTCGCCGTTCTTTTCGCCGTTTTTCTAATATTTCTTATTATTGTTAAAATTTTATGCTGAAAAAAAATTTCTTACCATAATTTAGTGAATTTAACTGATTTATTGTCTCTTTTACAATATTATAATTGCGATTCCGACTATTAAAAATGGAGAAGAATTGTTGAAAATGAAAAAATTTTCTCAAATGTTTGACCGAAATAATTTTAAAGAGAAAATGTTATTATGTTTCTCGTTTGGAAAGTTAAAGAAAATTTCTGAGATGAAATACTACTTGTTTCTTCGCCTTCAAAATAATCAAAATCAAAATAATCGGCTGGAACTTGGTAGCTTCGGTTGAGGTCAGGCATGATGGATTCAATTCCTGCTCCGTGATAAGAATCTATTAACAAAAGTTGAACTGTACTTCTACGCCAAATGGCTCTGAAGAAAAAGTCTCATTTTCGCAGCAAGTGACCCAACCAAAGCAGATATGGTGAATATTAATTTGAAGAAGAACAAGTGTTAATTCTCCAAATGCATTTTATCAAAACAAAATACAACATAATTTAATGCAATATGTAGAGTGACTTTGACTGATCAAAAATTTGAATTTTTTTTTAAAAAAATCCCAGACAAAATGGCTGCAAATAATCTAAAAATAACATTAAATGGTTTAAAAATGAATAATAAATCGTCATTCCCTCACGACTGATTGCAGAAATTATTCTTAGATTTAACTGGTTTTCCAGCTGAATTATCACTACTAATCTATTCATATGAAACGAGAATATCAACCATTGTTGAATATTATTGCTCGCATTTTTTGGAATAAACCAGTAAAAAATTCTTTTCGGCTTATCTAAATGATTCAAATAAACTTAAGTAATTGACATGATTAACATTTCTGAATTATTTTCAAGAAGTTGAGAAAATTTTCTGAGAGAATTCGAAAAAGATTGTTTTGATTCGATTTGATCAATTTGGAACAGTGAACAAGTCTGTCTCACGTTAGAATATGGAAGGAATCTGGTTGCGATGCTTTAAATTCCCATTCGATGAAAAACTAATTGCAAATTATCCAATTTATTGCCTTCTAAGCAGCTTAATTTCGACAATTAAAATTTGCAAAGAAAAAAAAGAGAAATAACATCAGTGCACTCTTTTTTTATAGCATCTATTATGAGAAAATTGTAATATATATATATATATATATATAAAAGATTGTTTGTAGATCTATAATATCCTTAATAGAGTGCTTTATATAGCAAAATATTATTCGCTGAGTGGTTCTGCTTATTTATAAATTTAGAAATTTAGAAATTTTATTCATAAAAATTAAGTTGTATTTTTTTCCGTAAAGAAGGCAATGATTTGGCAGGTCCTCTTTCTATATTTCACTGAATTCCTAGTTAATGAAAAATATTTGCCCATCAACAGGTTTTAGCTCGTTTTAACTTTAAGGTGCGATCCTAGTGAAATGAGAAAGTCTGGGATTAGGCTAGCCAAGTAGGGAAAATTTGAAACTTTGAGAAAGCTTTAGAAATAAAGCTGTGACTAATCTGCAGAAAATCCAGTTGCTCCTATATCTTGAATTATTATAATTAAGGGTTTGTGGCATTTTTCTTTGATTAGCGATTACCAAGTTGGTCTTCTTTTCAGAGTCAAAGTCAGTTCTTTCACCTTTGACAGAATTGAATCGTAAAAAAAAACTGGGTAACGCTGACTGATGATCTGTACGTCTATGACTATGACGAAAATAAACTTTTCTTATTTATGGACATTGCAGCGAGATATCTAGAAATGTTAGACTACTTGCTATTCGACCACATCATAGAGCATAGCATTGGTATTAGGCCAAATATCCAAAGAGCAATTGCTTTTATTATCATATCGGGCATCTAGCTTGGCTACGGCCCTGTGGAAATAAATTTTCTTCTTAAAAAGCGCAAGTGATGTTGGTGACTTACTTATATTTCTTATACCTATTCAAGTTTCTGGCAAGGCTAATTCATTCTATAACCAGTGTTAATGAAACGAGCCTAACCAGAAAGAACTTAGTATTATAATATTTACATATTATAAATAATATTTGTAATATTATTATGCTTTACAAATATTTTTTCACTTATTCTTGTTACTGTTGAGGAAAAGGTGAACTAAAATCGTAGAATTTCACTTTTAAATTTTTCCTATATTTTATTAAATTTCAAATTTGTTTGTTGAAACATTAATAGGAAATCGACATTTCTTAATGCTTGAGAAATTAGAAATTTTTACATGCGCATCATCGATGCTTTAGTGAATTTGCAACAAAATTGAAACAAAACAGGTTTTACATTGTAATTACATTGTTTAAAGCTTAAATGCTCAATAGTTTTACACTGAATACTCTATGGCATATTAAGGCAAATTATCGCAACGTAAATAAGGCAAACAACCGGTATAACCATTAAAACTATTTCAAAAATGAAAAATAATATTTAAAATTTGATTTATATGTCGCCATTTCGTATAGAATCAATAATTCTTTGTTTCGATATCATTTCTTATCATTTTGCTATCATTTTTTCAATCAACTGGAAGATATGAGTTGGATATTTTTCATATCTTATATTCATTAAATATATAAAAATATTTTCAAAAAAATGGAAATTCATAAACATGCGAAAATTATAGTGATTTTAAAATCACTATCCAATAGAACCATTTTTTTCCATTTGTTGGTACTAGTTAAGTTTGCTAAGCTTATTTATTCGACCAGACCAATGTAGCTTAGTGGCACTTGGTATATTGGTTCGAGTAAGTTCAAGTCATCCGATTCTTCTTCATCGCCAGGAGCAAAGTGAAATATAGATGGTGCGCCTATTTCATCCTTAAATGAGTTCAGACCAAAGGATATCATTTTAACAGACCATGAAACTAGCCAAGCCAAAAAATGGAGATTATTATAAAAAAAAAGAGTACCATTCTTTATAATTTTATGAAAATTTTCGCTGGATTTTTCTAATAGCTTGCATTTCGAATATTAATAACAAATATTAATATTATATTAAATTATTATACTGGTACGTAAATTTATAAATAAATCGTATCGTTTTTTAAACCATAAATCGTCGTAATGTTGCACATGACAACAACAATGAATGGAATGGAAAGTATGTCTTCCAGAAATGAAAAGATTAGAGTCCTCGTCAAATAATTGTTAAAGACCATTTTCTAAACCAATAGCAGTTTTGCTTTTGCTTTTTAAAATCACATAGACTTACTTCGTTCACATTAATTTCTTGATATATACATGCATATTATCAAAATACAATGATGGTTGATGGCTGACGAGATTTTGCATTCCATTTAATTTCATGCAGTCCGACGAGTTTTAAAAAATAGAAAAGCTAAATCAGTGATAGCCAACCGAAATAATTATATGAGCAAAGAAAAATATTCTTAAGTGGCACTGTTTATGAAATAACCAAAGCGGCTTCACTGGCTTTTATTGACTATGAAGTTTATTAATTGTTTCCATCGTCAATTGGATGTCTTGAAGAGACATTATTATAATTCACAGACAGTGCAAATTTGCAAATTTTGGTAACATTAGGCTTGCAGAAAATATACAAGCTAAAGCTAAGGTGCAGTTTCTATTTCTATTTTTATTCCAAAAGTATTCCAAACAATATTTAAAAGTTAAAAAAGAAATTTATACTCTCAAAATAATCATTCTTCAATATTTTGCGCTGTTATGATTATGATTTGCGATAAAAAATTTTCCCAAAAACTTTATATCTATACCTTTTATTAAAATATTCAGTCAAACTGGGTCAAAACCCCAATAACTATCACTGAAACAAAACCGGAAAATTCTGAAATGAGGGAAACAATGTGAATTTAAAAAAATCAAGCATAAAATATCGCCGTTTCCATTTTATCATTAATAATAATTTGCAGATTATTAAAAAAAGAGCTAATGAAGAGCTAATCTATTTACGAAAAAAAATAAAAAAAATATTCATAAAAAAATAAAATAAGTAAATTTAACTAGGAATATTTTTAGATCGAATGTAAATTAAAAATTTTACACCATATTTATGCCATTTCACGCAAAACTTTTTTTAGTTTTTATTTTAAATTTATTAAGTTTATCAGTTAAATTAATTTATTAAGGTTTTAAGCAAAAAGTCAAGCAAACAATGCTATCAAGAAAATCTTTTCACAAAAAAGTGGAAACCTTTCATAAAATATAGTTTTCTCAAAATATTGCATTTAAATTTGTCCGTTTGAAATCTCACTTATATAATTAATCGAAATAATTGGTTGCAATCATATAAAGCCGGTATTTTTACTAAATTTACTACTGAAAAATAATCGGCAAAAAAAGAATGGCTTTCGAATTTTCAAATGTTTATTGAGCTATTATAAAGCTAGCAAACAGTTCTTCATTAAAATCCAATTATTGTTGAATTCTCATTTTTCGCCGATTTGGGAATCTCTTAGGGCCGATCTTGCTGAAAGAAACTATATGATCGATTTAGGATAACAACTGCCTCATCTAAAAATATGGTGCTAATGCAGTACCTTCTTTTAGTACCCACTCAATGAGCTCCTCACTTATTTCTCTTATATTTCTATGCGTTATTTACATATTCTTGCTATGCACTCATAGTACTTATGCATTTTTATTTTTCGCTAATTGTTTTATTTTCATGGTGACCCTATCTTACGTTTCATATCATTTAATGCAAAATTTTCGATGAAAATGTTTTGTAAACAAATTTTTGTGAAAGGAATTTTATGTAAAATATCCTTCAGTTGCATATTATTTATTTATATAATAAAATAGATTTTTTAAAAATTAAAACTATAGTCAACAATAATTCATCAAATAAAATATTTTATTATTAAAATGCGCCCATAATATGCACGAATTTCTCTGAATTTTTTAAAAATTCAAACAAACCACCGAAAAAAATTTTTATTTCTTAAAATATCATAAGAGCACAAATTATGCATATTAAAATTTTTTTTAAATTTCAGTTGAATTGGTTCTTTGATAGTTTCTCACTATTTCTTTTTTAATAAATTTCGCTTCACCAAAGGATTTTTTTTAAGTAAAATTTGAAAAACAATTTAAAATTAAAACAAAAACAATTATTAATTAAAAACTATATGCATTTTGATTTAAGTTAATGTATAATATTTCAGCTTTAAAATTTTATTTTAATTTTCTGATGTTTATAGGATCTCTCTGTATTAAATGTTGTTGTTTGGTGTCTGCTTTATTGACGTGTAATTGCAATTTTCCGGCTGAAAATAGACTATTTGCTAATGATAGTGCCAGTGAAATAGTACAAACGGGTGTTTCGTGCAAATATGAATGTTCCACCCCAACAAGGTTTTGCATTATAAGAAGGATGGAATTCAAGCAATAACCAGTGATGTCCACAAATGACATCGTTTCATTTCGTCTACTACAGTAATTGCTTTTTGTCTATGGACGGCAACTTGCTTATCGAATTTAGGTTTTTTGCCATGATTGTCGATGTTCAAAAAATTCATAGATCATTAATTATTATTGTTACTGCTAATTCTATTAAATAACGTTAAAAAATTTAAAAAGGCCTAATAAAAAGAGAATCCTTAAGCGACTCTTCTGAGAAGTAGAAAAATAGAAATGAGACGAGACCGTGATTGTTTAAAATGAAAAAGATTCTGGAAAAGCGATATCGTTTCTTATTCAAAAATATATGTAGAGTTTTAGATGTTAAACGAGAAAGAAATCGAAGCGACTAATGTTAGAAGGGTAGCATTCATCGGAGTGGCTCTGTCCACCGTTGCTACTCTCGTTTGCGTGATCTCCGTACCGATGCTCTATAACTATTTACAACATATGCAGTCTGTTATGCAAAATGAAGTTGATTTCTGCAAATCACGGTCTGGAAATATTTGGCGTGAAGTCACACGAACACAAGTAAATCAATTTTTAATATTATTACATTAGTTGGAACAAATCTAATGCATATTTGAGGAACAAAGATATTCGATATTTTTGCCTTCATTGGCCTAAAATATTTGATAGGTACTCCTTGAATAAAGTGCTTTTTGGTTCGATAGTGATTGTCAGTAAAAACAATGAGAAATTTTACTAGAGGGCCATTTGGCAACAAAAATGCAGGTGAATCAGGTGTCAGTACCATTCGAAAATGCTCATTAACAATATATAGATGGTATTTTAGCTTTCGGCTAGTTTTCGGTTATATTGAGTTATTTATTCTCTATATAAAAGAATAATGCTTCCTTTGATTCACCTTTTTTCTTCCTATTGAGCTTTATTATACGATTCGTGCTAGGATTTTGCTCGAATTAGCCCATTTTATTTTCATTATTTTGCTCATATATCATCTTATATTTCATTATATTTATCTTATATTTTTCTTCGAGTTATATTTCTTTTTTTAATAATTTCAATTATTTCATATTTGTTTTTTGGTCAAATGGGCACCAACATGACGATAGAATACAGATGGATCCCAGTACCACCCATATTTTCCAAAGAGGGCACTTTACTTTTTTTGAAGGCAGAATCCGAATCTTGGTGCCCGAGACGATAATCTGTCCAATTTATTATTTATTTGTTGAGGCGACAACTTTAAAATTCCCAAAAACTGAAAAAAACATTTTATGAACTGCAATGGCAGAACTAACAGTGAAAAACAGGTTTATTGTGGCTATATTCTTGCATTAATCTGGCATGAAGTTTTTTCGATTCTTGTTCATTTTGTCGCTTTATAAGTTTCTTATATTTAACCCGAGTTCTCTACAACATTTCATTAAAATTTGTAGGCTATTAATAGTAAAATTTAAGAAAATAAAGATTTAAAATATTCTCATTGAAGCTGATAGAACTAAATTGTAACACCATTTATCAAATTTGTAGGTGATCGCCAAAGGAGAGCGCACCAAACGTCAAGCACCAGGATGTTGTGGATGCGGCATTTCACAGCAAGGACCACGTGGGCTTCCTGGACGTGATGGAAAGGATGGAGCTGATGGTGAGCAAGGGGCGCCTGGAAGAGATGGGCCTGATGGCCCACCAGCCACTCCAGCACCAAGATATGACCCATGTTTCGAGTGCGCAGATGCTCAAGCTGGACCGCCAGGAAGTCCAGGCCCCAAAGGACCTTCAGGAAAGCCAGGACGTCCTGGGCCCAATGGTGGTAACGGTAACCGAGGTCCACCAGGTCCAATGGGTCCAGCAGGTCCGGCGGGCAGGCCTGGTCCAGCTGGACGAAAGGGGCCTCCAGGGCCAGCAGGAGCAATTAGAGAGGCTGCAGCGCCTGATGGTCCACCTGGATTGCCAGGACCAGTGGGATCTAGAGGTCAGCCAGGGCAGCCCGGATCTGCAGGCAAACGAGGTAAGGATGGATCTGTGGGGCAAGCTGGTCAACCTGGAAAGAGAGGACCACCTGGTAAAGATGGCCCTAATGGCGAAAAAGGCCCTGATGGTGAAGCTGGGTCTCATGGGGCTTGTGACCACTGTCCTCCACCAAGAACAGCCCCAGGCTATTAGATTCTTTTCTCATTTTAATATGCTCAATCGATGTCAGTTGCTATATTTTTAATAAATGTTGAGCGTTTTAATTTTGATAATTTGAAATTATCAGCGATTGCATTTCTAAAAAACACATGCAAAATATTTTTATGGCTATTTTGATAGGTAATTTATTATTTTTGGGTGAGCAAACAGGTCAACACAAGAACGTTTGCTAGCACTTAGATTAAACCACATGCCACATAATTTCGGATTATTATTTAATATTTACTTTAATCATAAAGCAATACTCGAAACGAGAAAGGCTCTCCGATTTCGCATGGTTTAAATTATTTTAAGTATTTGATGTGCTGTTTTGCTGTTGTCGTTTCTACTGGAAAACTGTATCGGTTGAGTGATTTTTTCATTTCTTAATCCTACTTATTCGTATGATTATTGTAAAAACTATCTATCATTGATCAACAAATAAAATATATTGCAAGGTTCACACGACTAAATGATGCATTGTTTTAAAGAAAACTCTCAATAAGCGTTGCAAATTACAACACTGAGCAAATTCCTAAAAAATTATCAAAAGAATATCATTTATTGAAAGATAGGATTGCATTTGTCGGTGAAAATAATACAAAGGGCGTTGTTATTCTAAGCAAACGATGCGCAACTCGCGGTTAGTTTTAAAAATATTATTTGCAATTCGCCTCGAATTCGTGCATCTCTGGAAAAAGAAAGACTTATGTAGTTTGATTTTTTTCTGAATTTCGATTTTAATTTTTAATTTAAATTGTTTTGGTGTTTTGTCCCTTTGTAACGTGGAATTTTTTAAACTGCTTTTACTGCTTTACTCGAAGAAAAGAATAAAAAAATTTTTTTTATAATCAGAATATAATGATAGCAGAACCAAAGGAATGCACTGTTTCAAAAGAAAGGAAATATATTTAGATTTCAACAAAGACCATTCTGGCGAATTAACGATAAAAAATAAACCTCCTGACTTCATTCATCAACTGAAAATAGACTGTCGATATTTTCTGATGCATCTAAAAATGGCGTTGAAGGGGCTTTCACTATATTTCAATTAATTACAACATTTAAGGTTTTAAAGATGTGAAGGAATATGCAACGAACGTGTCGAAAACACTTTGCTACAAAATTTGAAGCATTAAGTTTCAATCTTCTGACGATGAAAAGATGAATTATTGATACTTCAAACCAAATAATGAAGAAAATTGCTGAAATCTCGGGTTTGAATTGTTTATTCTCATGCATTTAATGAATCACAAATATCCAAAGCCCAATCGAAAGCTGTTTTAAGTGTAATATCAAATTTTGAAATTCACAAGGTACTTTCAAAATTCAAAATTATGTCTACCTCTTGCACGAACAAAAGGCTCAGATTTATTACATGGCTTATCCAAGACTGGATAAGTGTAAATTGAAGCTCTCAAACTTGTTAACGTAATTAATAACGTAATAATCCGCAGTGATTGGTAAAAAGTGGAATGGTACCTCTTCTTTCCAAGCACACGTTAAAAAACTAAGAATTCAAATTTAAAAAATGTCATTATACATCAGAAAAAAGATAGGAAAAAAGAATATTCAATATCACGAAAGATTTTGCAGTTGCAATAAATTTTATATGATTAGGTGCGTTTAATCACCGCCAGCTTAAGACTTTTCTGGAAAATTTGACGCAGAATTATATAATTATCTGAGGCAGCTATGTCGGGGCAAAATCCAGAGAAGGAAATTTATAAAAAATTTAGAAGTTCCTCCAGAAAGGATTTTTTCCCAAAATTAAGGGAAATTGCGACAATCTTTATTTGACTGAACATAATTCGATTGAATACAAAGAGTATTGAATGAGATATAGCAATACCAAATATTCAAGCCGAGCGTATTCATTGATTTTTTTAAATAAATAGATATTGAAAAAATCTTGTTTGACAAAAATGTAAATGTTGAATCTTTGGTACCAAATTAACCAATGGACACAAGCGTTTAAACTCGTTTTATTCAGCCATAAGACTGCATTAAAACTCTCATATTTTAAAAATTTTGCGACAAACTTTTAGCTTTTTTCTATTCATTACCGTTAATATTTTGATGTTTTTTAGTAACATTTAGAAAAATTTTGATTCAATTTAGCATAGTTATAATTTAGGTCATAAAGCATTTAAATCTTTTTTCGAATGCTTTTGTTGGTTGCAATTTATCACCCATTTAAAAAAAGTAGCCACCTCTTTCTAACTCAAATTTCGATTCGAAATTAATTCCGATTCGAGGTGAGTTAAGACGTGATATATTTCTAGTTAAATCATTGATAAATATAGATTTAGCTGCGATTAAAAGCAGCTTCTAGAACTCATTCCACTTTCCATGGTCATAGTCGTGCTTTAAATTGCAATGTGCAGGAGAAGGGAATTATATTTCACCTTCTTGCACTTGACTATAACTCATATTAATTACAAATAAGAAATAAAAAATGCTAAAAAAAAGTAAAAAATATTGCATTCCGCTGACGGTATCTGGCCTTTGGACATTATCATAGTGTCTGATTTCGTTTTACTGGTTTACGCTAATCGGACCAGAATTAAAACGAGGAAGCATTGCTGCCATTAATTTAACCAGGAAATCGTTTAGCTGTAGAATTATAGGTAGATCGCCTGCAGCTTCCAGATGTTTCTCTTTTTCATTCGATGCATTCACTGCAACATTAGTTATGCCTCGGTATGGACTATTGAGCCATTCTATCTCAAAATATTTCTACATATAAATAGCAATTCCTTTTGCTGCATATGAAAATTATCAAATCATAAATTAATTAAATTTTTCCTCTCACCATTATTTCATTATTTCCAATATTCATCGAAGACGCAAAATATGGAGAATGAGAAAATGGTAAGTTGGATGCTTTGTTTTTTCCAGAATTGTTGGAAAAGCTAAAATTTATGAAAGAAGATCTTATTATTTGTATTGGTTCCATAATTCAAAAGGTGAAGTCGATTTATTCATTGTATGACAAAATTACGATTATTTTATGCTACCATAGTTTAACCTTATGCTGAAATTAAAATCGAAGCATAGCAAACATGAAATGATCCAGTTTTTCTTATTCTTTATTTCTTAGAAGACAAGACATAATAACTAAGATATTTAAGCTCAACAATAAATAATGGTTAAACGGCTAATTAAAGCTGAACTCATAATTTTCGTTCAAGAATTCGAAACACATTATTATTATTGTTATTATTATTATCATTATTATTATTCATTATTATTGTTAATGTAATAAGTTAATAGAAATAATCACTGCACAAAACTGAACTATTGAACATTAATACTATAGTTGAAAGCTCGGATCAAAAATTTTAGGATTTTTTTCAACAAAAACTTTTCAAAAAAATTATATTATTATCATATTCAATAGTCATAGAAAGCTTAAATAGATTTATCCTAAGCCTAAATCCAGGTTTTGCTCTGCATTTTTAAAATTTAGTCTAAACTAAATAGTTTATTTATAAGTGAGCTTGAGTTGAGCTATCATAGGCTCAATAACTCTCTCTTGAAGAGAGAAAATCTTTTAAATGTTTTATTCACAAATGACTCTCTGGAGAGATATTTCTTCGATGCCAATATAGCAGGCCAAAAGAGAAATATTAAATGATATTAGATAAATTTAGATTGAATAAATAAAGAAGAATGTTAAATGGCTTTTTTTACTATTTTTACTATAATTGCTGAATTCTATTAATAGTTCTATTAATATCTCCATAATTCAATTAATAGATGATATGAAGACTATAAGTTAAAGCGAAATGGAAAATTAATGATATGGACGATGAATTTATACAAAATTACAATTTTTAATAGAATTTTAACCATCAGTGATTGAATTTTTGATGCATTCTAATCGGCTCTATTGCTGAAATTCTGAAAAATTTGGGAATTAATTAATGATTTTTTAAAATATTTAATTTAATTTATCAAATAATTAAAATAAGGTCGAAATTATTATAAATTTTATCAAATGTAATTTTTTATCGTTTCGCTTCTTCATTTTTCATACCACACCTTCGACAAATTTATGAAAATTTGACCATATGGAAGAATGAAATAATTACCAGATGACTGGAGCAAAACAATTTTGCTCCTAATTTCTAAGAAAGATGACAGGACATATTGTGCCAATTATCGAGAAATCAGCTTCATTTAGACCGGGACACCGCTATGCTCACCACATATTCTCACTAAGAAGGATATTGAAACGTTTCAAATATCAGCAACTCACTGTCACTTGACTTCATTGATTTTGTAGCTGCCTTCGATGCATTTAATAAAAAAGCGTTTCGGAGGGTGATGGAATATAGCGATGTTCCAGAGATCATTTGCATCATAAAGGCGCTTTATCAGTGTACGTCGACACATGGGGAACTGACACACCCTTTTGAAATAAAAACTGGTGTTCATCAAGACTGCATTCTTTCTCTTAAATATTCCACAATAGATAGGTTGAATAATAGGCATCGTTTGTTGGCACTCGTGCAAATCAGTCCAGATCATCTTACGCTCTTTTTGTTAATAATTATGACGAATAATGCTGAACAATTATAATGCTAAGTAATGTATCGACAACTTCTGCTTGAACTTAGGATTAATATAATATAATAATACACTTAGGATTAATATAAATAATTAAAACGAAATTATTTCGGCTTACATACAAGAAGCTGATAAAATACAATTTTTTTTATCAGCTCATTTCCGGTTGAGGAAAGGCCAAACTTTCAATATCTCGCATCCACTCTAATTTCAAATGGTCAAATGATAGATAAAATTACGGATAATGGTAGCTAGAAATGCTGTCTTCGGAAATCGTTATGGACTCGTTGCGAAATCTCCATAAAAAAGAAGATCCATGTCTATATAAACTGCGATTCATTCGACTTTGTCATATAGCAACGAGACCTGGCATTAAGAGTGGAGAATATTAAGAGACTATGTGCCTTTGACCACCCATT